AGCGCATTGAGACAATGTAATGTTGTGATAATGCGCTATATAAATAAAATTGTATTGAATTGAATATTTCTCATTTATAAATTGTGGAATTATTAGGTAAAAGGGTGCATTCAGGCCTAATAACTGAATGAAAGATCACTTCATTCACCTGGGTTTGTAGGTTTTACTCCTACTATGAAAAAGACATTGCTACCTTTGAATGGGTTCAACATAGGGCTGCAAGAATGATTCCAGGTCTTAGAGGAATGTCTTATGAGGAGAGGTTAGCAGAGCTGAATCTGTTCAGCCTCAAGCAAAGGAAATTAAGGGGGAACGTGATCCATGTATATAAGATTGTAACAGGTCTGGATACTGTTCAACCTTCAATATTAGTTAAAATACAAGAACTCATGGCCATAGCTGGAAATTTGTCTTCCTGTTGGTGTAGTGCAAACTAACCAGCTTGGGTTCCTTTAAATCAGAGCTAATATTATGACAGCTTTAAGCTGTTAAGTTGAATTCTCCCCAAACAAGCTTGATGGGCTGATTGGCCCCCTCTCGTTAGTAAATTTCTTATGTTCTTATGTTCTAAGTTCTCATTAATTAATCTTGATTAAACTATTACTGGAAAACTCAGATCATTTAAGAATTGGGACTACCTTCTCTTTATGGGAAATATCATGCATTTATATTTTTTTTTTCCAGAAAAAATTGTACCAAATAAGTTAATTGAATTTATTTTCTTTGTACTGAATACTTTGTAGCTTAATAATGTAACATCCTTCAGGTACTTAACTGTTATTAAATGAAACTAATAATTAGAAGAAGCAACTAAATAATTGGCATTAAATAAGCAGCTGACCATAATTTAAAGAAACATTATTCATTTTAGTCACCAAAATTTATTTTAGAATGTTAAGAATGTCCCACCTAAAATGCATGCAGCAAAAACAGTGGGTCTGCAGGACCTGAACTGAAAAACCTTGAAGTACAGCATAGAAAATCTGGCCACATCTCTACTGGCAAAGTCATACTTCTCACAATGAGAGCTCCAGAATAAACGAGAAGGACTCATTATAACATGGAAACCTGTCACTCCTCTCAGTGTGAGGCCAGACTTAGTGGAAATGATTCACCCTAGATGCCTTTAGAGCCTTGCCAAGTGCAGAACGTAATAAACACTTTCATATGGATGCCTGGTATCACCAGTGACGGCATCTGACCTTCCGTCACGTCAGAAGTGATGAAGGCTCAATCCTGACCAGCACACAGAAGCTCTGAGCCACTACCTATGAATAAACTATTAAATTAAATCTAATCAGAAGTACTCTGGATCCAAATGACACAGCTTAACAAGATGTGACACTAGCAAAATAGGCGCTCAAGCAAGTTGAACCCTGGTTTTATGTTATTAGCTTTAAGTCGACACCTACAAATACAACAGACGGTAGTCCAGCAAGAATGAGGACAAGCATGATGTACACTTGGCACCAGAATTTCAATGCTTAAGGCAAGCTAAGTGAGTAATCTGTTATAATGCATAGCAATCCAAATGCATGTATTCCTGCCACAAAGAACATGCTGCAGTACCTCTTCCATAGCTGCACTTTGTGTAGAAACAGATGGTGGAGGAAGTTCATAACCCTCTGTTGATTACTATGTCCCATACGTGTGAGAAGTATAGCAAGAAGACTGAAATAGTGCAGCAAGGTCTCAGGGACAAGTGTGTCCAGTGGTTGTCATGTCCGAATAAAGATAGCAGCATTCCATTACTATAAAAATTAAGCCAGGGGGGTCCAGTAAGGACTTTTTGAGAGTTAGACTTTATGAGTTAGCTTTGGAATAGAGATAAAATAATAAAATAATGTGTGCTTCTTCCAAGTGATTTCATTAGAGTCTATCCATAGCATCAAATGAAGAAATGCCTGATGGATTAAGGACTGAAAGAGTACACAGTCTTAAATGAACTTGGTGCTATTTTGAATGCAGAAACTGAGACACAGCATGAAGAGAAATATCTGTCATTGTCTGGCAAACCTCACTATAACTGTGAAGAAGTAAAATACTGTTCAGTTCAGTGACCAGGTTAAGTTCAAAAATACTAAACGTATGTCTCAGCAAAACATGTTTAAGTCAGCTTCTTAGTTGTAATATCCGTATCCTATTATTTATATGCAAGATAAATATTATTTCATTAATTCTCTGATGCATGGGCGTCATCGCCATTAAATCTACATTAAACATTTCATAATTATTCATTTGGACCCCCCCCCCNCACATTTAACATAAAATATTAGTTTTATGCCAGTGTGTCCCCCCCACATTCAAAATGCTTCTGATACCCCTGCTCTGATGTATGTCATAAATATAAATCAGACAATAAATATCAAACTCATACTTTCTGTATTGCTTACACCTTACAATATATCATTGAAATAATAAAACAAATACTGTACTTGGAATGTGTACAAAATTTCTAAGCTGCATTTTGAGTAATTTCTTGTAATGTTTTTAATTTTTGTTTCCTAGGACCAAGGACTTACTTTTTTCATCTGAGTGACTGAGTGGATAAAAATGGAAAGAACTGAAAGGAGAGATGTGCCCGACAAAGAAACATTCTTCTGCAAACATTTAATTTCAGGATTTGTTATCAGGCTTGTTTCATAAAAAAATATAATCAATTCATTAATTATTTTTTGCTTGGAAGCAACTGGAATTTTACTGTATTCTGGTATCCTGGACAACTATACCTCATTTTGCATTTTCCATTTTTAACTTTATTTTAATCAGGAGAAACTGAAATCTGTGAGAAAGCAAAGGAGCAGGCATTTTTCATAAAGGAGTTATCACTGAACTTTAAATACTTAAGGTGACTTGAATTCCATAATATTCCCTGCTGCTGTACCCTAGCACTCGATGTGATGATGAAGCCCACCATGCTGGGTTGCCATAGTTACCTGTACTTACTAAACAGGTTCCCTCTGAATTTCTTAAAGAGAAACACTGGCCAGTAAAGAAAAGGTAGCTGTATAGAAAGCCATCGTTATTAAACAGTTACTTACATTTCATATTTTACTGCTTAGCAACACTTACAGTTAAAGTGCCATAACCATCTTCAAAGTTTACAAAAAAAAGTGACTCCTGCAACTGCCAATAAATTGTTTACACCTCATAAGAAAGTACTATTTTTCTATTTTAGTGTGATTTTGCAGAAGGTCAAATTGCTAAAGAACATTTAAGTGCCAAAAATAAAAGACATTACTGCCAAATAAAAAACAGACAGAGATAAGACCAAGTTTACAGCTGAAAGTACAAAGTTTTTAAAAAGGCTTTTTCTTAGATCTTTTGATGGATTTTTGTGTCGTTTTTGTGGAGCTGAGCAAGAGTAGTCCCAGGAGGTAAAGTATTAGTTTCTTCATTGCTTATTTGTAAAGGTTCATGCGGTTTCAATTTTCTCATGCTTATTGATCAATATTGACTAAAAGCCAGATTTGTCAGACATATCATTTTCTAAATCGGTAGAGTCATTTTAAAGTTGCGTTGCCTCGTACAGCTTTATAATGTGAAAATGTAGGTTTAAATCTACGTAACCAAATGTTTACACAGTATACTTATATTAACAGATCCACACTGAATGTAAACAAACAAAGGAATGAATGAATAAACAAACAAATAAACTGAAGAAAAACACTTTACTGTTATAGATCACCTACTGCTTGTAGCTGAAAAGGACAAGGACATATGCCTCATAAAATCTGAATAGTGCTACAATTTCATGAGATGTAGTTGTGTTGTTTCTGTGTACCATTCAAAAATTTCAGACCTTGGAGATTCTGAGCACACTGCCTGGATCATTAGGTAAAAAAACAGCTGAGCACAATGAATAAGAAGTTATCAAAAAGTATAGGGCTTGGGACAAAACAGCAGTTCTCAGATCCCAGCCCTTCCACTTGATGTTTACATGCACTCCCACATTTCCCTGTTCATTAGATAACTGTTTTCTCAGCACTTTGCAGTGTGGGCTGATACTTCAGTCTCTTTTTGCAGGTGATGGTATAGCTAACAGACTGAGTGGAGAGAGCTGCACAGCATAAAGTCAACATCTGGAACACTGGACACCTTGAACTTTGATTTACAAAAATGAAATCAATTGCCTGTCACAGGATGTGTTCTTTAGTTCTCTTTTTGATGTTTTCTCCTGTCATTGCTATGGTGACGAGCTCCACTGAGCATCAGGCAGCAAATGGGAGTCCAAGCAGTGCAACTTTTGTACTTTTTACCAGCCATGGTAACAAGCAAACAATGAAGTCTGCTGGCAATTCGGAGCTGGCCATGAAAATATCTGAGATTCCACCGAAACCTTTGCCGCAAATCATGCTCCCCAGGAACATGACAGCCGATGCTCTAAAGCCGCCACTTGGGGCTGCCCAGGTGGCTCCACCAAAAAAAGGACTTGTGGATGTGGACGTTTGCAAAGGTTACTATGATGTGATGGGCCAATATGATCTGACCTTCAATTGCAGCAAAAGCACATACATATATTGCTGTGGGACCTGCCACTACCGCTTCTGCTGTGAGCACCAGAGCAGCCGCTTGGACCAGGAGTCCTGCAAGAACTACGACTCTCCTGTGTGGGCCAACACACAACCACCTGCAACCCCAGCACCAGGCCAACGATCTGACCCAAACTTTGATCCACTCCAGCAGCAGAACAACAACACCATGTACGTCATAGGAGGTGTGATTTCCTTCACGGTGGTGGTGGCGGTGGGCATTAAGGTGGCCTTCCACAAGGTGTCCCGTCGGCCCAGGCACAGGGATATAAACGTGCCAAGGTGAGAACTAATAAGCAACAAAGAGAGTTCTTTATGGCTTTATGTTCTTTATGGCTCTTTACTAGTATGAAATTGTTTCTGGTTTATATTGCTTTTTCCTATTGTTAAGCTACCACAAAGCTATGTTATACTAATAATTAGAAGAATAATTTAAAAGCTTATATAATGGCAAAATTAATTGTATATAGTGATTACTAAATGACAATCAAGCAGTTACAATGCATATCTAAGAGTGGGAAGATGTGGCTAGGGATGAAATGCTTATCTGTTTCACAGTCAACCACGGTGAAATTTCAGATTGTTAGTAATATTATTTCAAATTTTAATTATCATTACAACCATGGCTGATTACTATGCTTTAAAAAGCTCACATTTAATGCTGTTCAGCATCAACCAAAGTTAGCAACAGTCTTCCATATGTAGGTGCCCAGGCGCAGCATGCAACATGCATTTGTTTCATGTCAGAACATGGTGGAAGGCAGTGACCTTTGGGAGTGACAGCTCTCCACAGGCATTTAATGTCAATGTGCATTTGATATGGTTTTCATGTGTTTACATAAGGTATTGGCTATGTTATTATTTTAATGTTCATGCAAACAAAAAGTGCATACTGCTGCTAATTTTATTTATGGTGTTCAAGATAAAACTAGGTGAAATAATTTCAGTTTGTGTATTAGTACATTTTGAACATTTCAGCAAATTTTAACAATACCGCAATAATACTGATAACTGTGATAATTTTGGTCACTATAATTGTGATTTTCATGCCATTTCATCTCTAGATCTGGCCATAATGGATGTGCCCATTAAAGTCTCAGGAGAGGTACTTTTAGACCCTGCTTGCACTTGGTTGTAAAATGCGGCTTGCTTAATCAGATCACAGTTGAACAGCACTAAATACAAGTGTAAATGACCACCAACACACATTGTGATCTATTCATTCAAACCAGTTGCAGAGGTGGTCTGGGATGCATTTGACCACAAATCTTTTGTAATGTAAAGGTGAATTAATATTTCCTCTTGCGATTTCAGGCTGGGGACGATCGTGAGCATGGCAGCTTGTGTTCCTACTACATTTCTTTGATGCAGATCGTTGCAGTCAGTGCATGCGTACAGTGGTTATTCCACCAGATCAGAGAAACCAAATGTATTGCAACAGTGCAACAGTTTTAAAGTTATTAGTCTAGACTTGGATGGTATATTGAAATACTTTTTTGGGAACTTCCTAAGTTTCCCAGTTTGAGAAAAAGTAATGAGTCCTTGAACCAGTGGGAGGCCTTAGGCGGGTGTTACCGGGCACATAGCACATGGAAGAATGAGACTTCCGTGGAAGAACTTTTATTATCGGAGGGGGCGATCTGAAGACGTAATCGGGGCACGGAGCAAGGGGTCGGAGAAGCCGGTGAAGTCAAGCCGAGGGGGTACACAGGACATGGGACGGGCGGACACAGGTGGGAGTCGGGGAAGCGGGGAGTAACGGGACCAATACGGGAGGACTGGGCTAGGGCTGCAGAGAAGACAAAGAGAGAAACGCTCAGTAAGTCGCATGGAAATCAACAATACCTCACGCCGAGGAGAGCGAGGTGACTCCTTTTAAAGCCACAGGTACAGGTGGACAAGATTCTGCAGATTAGGGAGTGCACTCCATCCATCGGGGGCGTGGTCGGGACGTGACAGCGGGTTTTCCAACTTTCGATTTAACAAAATTCTTCTCTGAGCTAAAAGTGAAGCAAAGGCACTGTATTGGCATAAATACTTATGACAAAATTAGCTGGGTACCCCACCCAAGATGCATTTTAAAACCAAGTGTGAACTAGACCAAAAAGTACCCTTCTGTGTGTATACAGTCTATGCTGATTTGTCGCGTTCATCAGGGTTGGAGGGTATTCCACAAAGCAGGATTAAGGGAAAGTCTGACTTATTTCAATAAGTCTGGCTCATTTAAGTGGGAGTTCCGTTCCATCAACATGTATTAAATGAATCCCCGCTGAGCTACCATGGTAACTTAGGTGAGTGAACAAGTCTGCTCCGGACCAGGTTAACTGTATTGCTTAGTTAAGCGTTGTCTCAAAGAACGTCCGACGTGTGGGAACAGATTCCCAAAAGTTCATTCCGTTCCGCTCTCACTCCTCTTGTCGTGTAATAAATATAATAAAGCCTATAAAAATCACGTCGCAGCATTCCAATTCATTCTAAAATAATTAAAATAAAAGCGTACCAATATTACAAAGGTCAAGCATGAAATGCAATGACTGAAATTGAAAAAAGAAATCTGTTAAAATAATATGAACAGGAAGATATTATTTTGTTTAGTCACAGTCTACTGTGTTAGTGGAAAGACATGAGACTAAATTTAGAGATGGCGTTAGTTTGAGTCTGACTTTTTCGGGAAAGTCTGGGTTTCTTTAGCTACTTTCTTGGAATACCCCCCTGCTCCGTGATGCAGGCCCCCAGTTGTCAATTGCAACAACAACAGTGTTCGTGACAAAGATAAAGGATCCTTTATGATTCCAAAGATTATTAAAAAACTTAATAGTATTTTATTGGTTGTGCAAAAACAATAAAAGAGCAGTCATACGGATTAAATAAGTTTAACTATATGTCACACTACGCGGTGGTCAGTGAAAGTTAGGACAGCTTATCTGTTATCCTAGGAGAGCTTACTGACGATTTTGGGAAGTTAGGATATTATACAGCACCATAACAGAACAGACAAATGCTGTCATAAATGGGAATTAAATCGACTAGGCAAGATCGATCTGTTGTGACTTAGTTTGCAATGTAACCATTTAGATTAAGTTTTGTTTAAAGTCTGCCCACTGAGTGTGGTGAGTGACTTTGACAGAATTTTAATGATTATTGGTATAATTTAAATTGTAATTTAAACAACAATATAACAATTTAAATAACAATTAATTTGCTTTTAAAATATTTAAATGACAATTTAAATGACATATTAATTTATTGACTATTGTCACTAAACACCCTCCATATTACTGTGTTCATTTCCATAGATAACAGTACTGGGATTCATTAGTTGATAAACATTGGCTTACATTTGTTAGCATGCTAACGCTACTGCATTTCATGATCCCCATTCTGTTTATGGTTGTGGTGCCTGATGTAACCAAATGTGAATACAAGCAATTTGCCATTTAAATTAGAACAAGTAAGCTGACATAAACAACTTTGGTTTTAAAACAAAACAAAACAAAAACAGCATGTCCTAAAGGCCATTCTTATCCTTTCACGTTAGGCAAACCATCCACTATGTATGACAGAGGCAACACTGACTGGGCACCAATAATGAACTTGGGACAGAGCAATTTAAAGAGTCTGACATCATCACAGGCATCAAGAGAGGAATGCAAAAAGAAACAAGACAGTCTCTTCAGCAAAATGAAAGCAGCACATACTAGGATAAAATAAATCAATCAGCAGTTTACCTTTACAACACATTCATTTATGTGCGATCAGATTTGTTGTAATAACAACAATTGACACAAGCCTGTAATGTTAACGTTACAACACAGAACAACATAACTGTTTACCAGTACATGACGCAAATAACGATAAACAATATACAGTAGTTTGCAAACCCCCTCGAAGGTCATCATAATTTTAGAACATTCACCTTTTTGTTTTTGAGCCATCCCAGTGTCACTTTGGCCTTATGCTTAGGGTCATTTTCAAGTTGAAAAAAGAATCTTCTGGACTGCAACAAGTTCTCTTGCAATATTGTCTGGTATTTGTGTCCAACCATTGTCCCTTCAACTCTGACAAGATTCCCAGTCCCAGCACAGTATCCCCATAGCATGATACTGCCACCATATTTCACTGTAGGTATGGTGTTTCTTGAGGCATGGGCCGTGTTAGTTTTACACCACACATCTTTGAAGTTGGCCAAAAACTGGGTCTTTCTCATGCTTTGTAGTAAATGCCATATGTGCGTTTATGTGGATATTCTTAAAGAATGGCTTCTGGCTACCCTCCCATTGTGGCCTGTTTCATGGAGCACTCCAGTTTCAGCCAATGAGCACTGCAGCCTTCTGAGAGTGAAAGTTGGATTTTTAGTAGCCTCTCTCACCAGTCGACATCTTGGTCTTATGCTTGGTTTTGAGGGATGGCCCGTTCTAGTAACTGAGTGCTGTGATGAACCTTCCACTTGCAGATGATGGATTCAACAGTGCTTAATGGGGCATCCAAACTCCTCAATATTTTTGTAGTCATTTCCTGCCTTGTGCATTTCAATGATATTGTTTATCTGATATCAGCAGAATGTTCCTTTGTCTTAATTTTTGCAGTGATCGTCCAACAAAAACAATGGCCCTTCCAAAGGCTACTTTTATATCCAGAGAGAAACATCAGGACTAAGTAGTACCTAATTATGTTTAATTATGGTCTATTAACTGTCACCTTTGTGTCATTTGTGATTAATTTGTCATTTATGTAAACCTGGAGCTTCCAAAGCACTGACCTATTCTGCCATTTAAAAATATACTGGAGCAAAAGAATTTCCAAAATAAATATGGTTTGAGAAAACTGTGTATATATATTTCATACAATTGTCATGACTTTCAAGGGGGTTGAATACTTTTGCAGGCCACTGTCTGCATAGATAAACACACACACAAGCACACATACATACATACATACATATATGCTATATATGCATATACATACATATACTGTATATCTGAGGCTCCTTCAGCAAGGCCCTTAACCCATAGCTCCCTGGGTGCTGCTATATGTGGCTGCCCTTCACAGTCAGCTTGTTCTCACCTACAGAGAGCAAGTTGGGGGAGGCATAAAAGAGAAATTCCCCACGGGGATCAATAAAGTATCTATTATTATTATAATTACTCCATTACCAATGCACCAAGATGGCATGCATTACTATTGCAACCCTCCTAGTGCTCCCCTACTGGTCTGGCATCCCCGGGTTACACACACACCTGCACAGAGTTACGTTGTGATGTTATGTTTCTTTTCCCTCTTTTTCATGTCTCCCTCAGGGCTCTGGTAGACATCTTGCGTCACCAGTCTAGTCCAGTACAGCAAGCAGAGCGGAACAACAGTGTTGCTCTAGGTCCTGGGGGGAACGAGGGGACCCTGGGACGACCCCCCAAAAACCTGTATACACCTGTACCTCAGGGCAAAGAGAACCGAAGTGAGTGACAGTTAAGCATGGTGGACGTGATGGAACGTTGGATGATCACATATATATCTCAAAGAGAGAGATTAAAAGCAGGTCGATGTAAAAGGAGATTGGAAAGAGGACAGAACAAAGGAGATAAACAGTTCATGTTTATACCATATATACCATTACAGAGCTTCATGTACTCCAGGAAGCTAATACTCAGGCACCCACAAAAACTCACAGGAGATGACAACACATGACAGCTATGCTCTGTCTTGCAGTTGGGAATTTGCACCACAATTTCATCTACCTGTCTGATTCCAGTCCCAAACACAATGCTACAATCGGTAAGGAAATCCATGCAGATAGTATGCCTGTAGAATTGAATTTGTTTGTCTTTGCGCTGAAATGGCTGGCAGTGTGCGTGTGGTGCAATTGTCTATGACACACAGGTCCTAAGTATCAAGCTATGTTGCGCTTCTGCGTGGCATTTTAACCAAGTTTAATACAGTTTCTGTAGCATTATACGTAGTTTATATAATACATAAGCTACTTATTATATCAGGTTTGCTTTCAGTTTTAGTGGAATTTATGTGCTGATCAAATGCATGTCAGACTAAAGATGACATTATTTATACTGTACTACTTTTCACAGACACTATCCAAAGTATTTGTACTGTATTGTAATACTTCCATTAACCTGTAATTTATCTGTTTTTTTTTTCTTTTTGCAAAAGTAGCACAGTGTTTATTATTCAAATTGGAGGAGGATAATATTTGCAAAACTTCATTAATCACTTTATACCTTACAAGTTTTCCAAACTGGGTAAAAGATAAATCTATTGTTTCTGTTCAGAGAACAGATTTGTAATAGAGATTACAAATCTAGAGATACAATAGACCTAAATTACAATACTAAAACAAAGTGAAGAAAGAATTACCCTGGAAGCATGTGTGCAAATAGAAAGAACTTTATAATTCATACAAATTTAAAATTGATTTTAACTGAACTTTTTTTTTAATCACATTTTAAACATCATTTTAATAATAGCTATGGCTACAGACTCTGCTGTACCTTTCACTTCAACTTTCCCTTTATAGACATAAACAATTCTGTGACAGTTCAGGTTGACTACCACGTCAAACTAATAACAAAAAAATGTAATTCTGAAAAACTTTGTTCACAAATGAATGCTGGACATGCATCTCTTTTTGGGCCACACTGTAGTGGCTGTTATGACAAGTCTTTGTCTTAAATGTGATTACAGTCAAACAGTCCTTTTCTTTTGGACTTTTCTCTAGTTTTAATCATAATTTCATATGACAGCTAATCATATGGCACAGACTCTTGGCAATTCATACTGCAAGGAATTAGAATTATTCAATTAATATGACTATTCTAGGTATTGCTTTTGTCTGGTCTTGGGCCTTGTCCTCTGGTCGAATCCTGCAGAATGTGAGATAACATCTAGGACCGCTCTGGAGAAGATGGTCATTGCCTCAGCTCAGGAGTAGTTTTTACTGAAGCACAAAACTTTGAAACTGTAAAACATATTTACTGGCTTACAGACACAGGCATTGATTCATGAAGGAAAGTTTTCAATTCATGAATTTAGCTGAAAGAACTTAAGTCAGACCCAGGTATCATCATGACAGATGCCAGTTCTACAGGACTGGATGTTAGTAAAGGTTAAAGTAGTGGCTTTCTGATTCACTGATATTTATTTGGGGCTGATTTGACCTTGACAATCCTTACTTTTCAGGCAATGGTTTATTTGCTTGAAAAGCTCACCTGCATGTGTCATTGCATCACGGCTAACTGTAACCTTGAGGAGTATCTGTAATGCAAAGTTCAACTGCTAGATATTTATTGCACTTCAGTCAAGTTTAACAAAGTTTAACAAAATAGTTCCCATCATTTCATGAGTTAAAATAGTAAATCTTAGAACATAAGAACATAAGAAATTTACAAACGAGAGGAGGCCATTCGGCCCATCAAGCTCGTTTGGGGAGAACTTAACTAATAGCTCAGAGTTGTTAAAATCTTATCTAGCTCTGATTTAAAGGAACCCATGGTTTTAGCTTCCGCTACACTAGCAGGAAGACTATTCCATACTCTAACTACACGCTGTGTAAAGAAGTGCTTCCTCAAATTTGTTTTAAAATATTCTCCCGCTAATTTCCACTTATGGCCACGAGTTCTAGTATTTAGACTAATATTGAAATAGTCATTTGGCTGAACAGCATCCAGACCCGTTAGAATCTTATAGACCTGAATCATATCCCCCCTTAGTCTCCTTTGCTCAAGGCTGAACAGATTCAGTTCCGCTAACCTGAATCTGTTCAGCCTTGAGCAAAGGAGACTAAGGGGGGATATGATTCAGGTCTATAAGATTCTAACGGGTCTTACTTATGTTTGAGATTATTTTTAGCAAAGGTTGATTAAAGATGGTATTTAAAGCATTCAAAACAAGTTAGTACACTTAATGTGAACTTCCCGTTTTTGCACTTATTAACTTCCAGTTAGGTCACATTTTATATCATTTTATTGTCCTGCTTTCCTACATCGTTAACTGCCACAATCCGAGTGCCATAATATCATGCTCACTAAAAGAAAGTTATGAAGATGTGATGAAATTTTACTATTAAAAAGGTCACATGATTTTAGATAGACAGAAAAAAATCTTGAAAGCAATCAGTAAAAATTTTTGTTCACAAAGGAAAATGTCAGAACTATTATACACCAAACTCTGTATTTTATTTCCAAACTATCAGCCTGATAGGAGGCTGTACCTAAACACCTCCAGATCATGCGTGATAACTCAGACATTTCACCAGGATACATTCTTTATAGACCACAAACTTTCTGTGGATCATGTTCATATTTTGACTATGGGTTACATTCTGATTATTAAATAGATATTTCCTGTTTTCGCAGAGCGCCCACCGCATATGAACAACACCACGCTTGCCTCCACTGGAACACTGCTCTCCAGCAAACACAGCAATGCCTCTGCCCCCCACCCCTCTCTCTCGCACTCTTTTCACAACCTGGCCCAGCTGCCCCCATCCTATGAGACAAGCACCAAATCTGAGATGAATAGGTACAGCTCGCTGAAGAGGCTGGGTAAGTGATCCTGGAAAATGGATTGGGTCTCCAGGAGATATTTGAGTTGATTTGGGAAATATGTAGAACTTCCTGGTAAGAGTTGTAGTGAATATGAATATGTCATGAATATGTCAGAACGAGATGCAGATGATGTCCTACTTCTGGAAAATGTTTCTCACCTTGAATTGCTTCTCTTTTTCCAAAATGAAAACAGAAAAGGATCTGGATGACTACTCTGGATATTATACCACCAAACGGCGGCCAAACAATGCTCCTCCTTCCTTTCACTCATCTCAGCACCACCTCCACTGGGGTGGGGACTATACACTGGGGGCCAGGGGCACGCTCCCTCTGCACACGTCACGCCCGAGAATTCACGTGCCACCGGGGCCATCTCCAACACCAAACCCTTATCCTTTACAGCCGCCTCAGTCACAGTACAACCCCAACTTTGACACACTGTCCAAGCCTCCGCGAAGAGTGATGTCTCAGGACCAGCTGCTTAATCTGGGAGATGGCAATACTACATTGTCCAGACTAACTAAAAACCAACAGCACCAGTATTATAAAGCTGTGGCAGCAGCAAAAAGCTCGAACTCACAAACCCTCCGGAAGTCACACGAAAGGCTCCTTGTGTCCCCTGATCAGTTGGGGGAAAGAGTTAGTGGAGGAGTGGGTACTGGAGAGTTTGGGGGGATGGTCCCCACGCTGCCACGGCTTACCCCCAGCCAGAAAGCGCAATCCCAACAAAATGTTTGTGCTACCCCCTCGCTTGACCGACATCACATGATCAAAATGAACTCCCACCCCACCTCCGGCAGGGAGCAGGAGCGCAGCGCACCAATGCCTACCCACACGGGAGGGGCCGTGGGCTGGGGGGAGTTACCTGGAGGGGGCACAGGAACACTAGGGGGCCACAATGCCAGAAGATTAGCTTTTGCAGCCAAGAGGCAGAACACCATCGAGCAGTTACACTTTATTCCTGGTGGGGGGGGTGTGGGTGTAGCGGCAACTGGGAATCAGGGCTTGAGGACAGGGAGCAAGAATGAAGTGACAGTGTAGGGGAAAAGGCGACGAGGAGCAGGACAGGCTGGGGATAGACTTTGGTGTTCATGTGAGAAAGGAGCAGGTGATGGACAGAGGAAATGGGAACAGGAAGACTGGCAGCTAAGTGCAGCATATAGGGTTTTAAGGATGGCTATTATAAAGACAGGAAGTGTTATAAAAAATACTTTTTCAAACTCTTGAAATGTCAGGTCAATTTTTAAATCAAGGTTTCCTGCAATTGAGCGTCAAAACAGAAAAGACAAAGATAAAGACGATAAATAAATAGGAAGTTACTTCGGAACAGGAGAGGCAGTGATTTGAACTTCAATACACTTTACAGTGATAATTTTCAAAAAAACAAAAAACAAACAAAAAAATTTCAGCCATATTTTGAAGGAAAGAGGGTGGGCACAGAGTAGCCTTTACAAAAGTGGGCAAGTAGATTTCCTCTGTTAAGTCTCCATGCATTCGCTTCTGCTATGGCTGTGCGTGTTGGTCCATAACACACATAGGGGGGCGCACACTGCTTCCCCTGTGAAGTCACATGTTCTCCTGTGATGGAATGACTGGACAAAAGAGGAACATAGTTATATCATAATGCTATAATGGTTATTAAAAGCTGCGTTTACTGGATTGTATGTTTGCAATGACAGTAAAATATATCTGCCTGTTCAAACATAGAATGACTTATAAGAATACTTATAAGAATACTTAAGAAAATTTCCTTGATTTTCTCCCAAATTTGGCCAGTTTGTAGTGAACCACTTCATTATTCTGTTGACACACTCCCTGGCATGCCCACCAGTACATGGGCTATTTATCAGTGTAATGGAGCCACTTACACACTGGTCAACCATTACAAACCAAAGCAACTTTCACAAAAGAAGAGTGATTTTACAAGGCTACTTAGCCACCACTAACAGCTAGCAAACAAAATAGTTCCGGCATGAGCAAGAAGACTGAGTAATGGGACTTAAGCATTGCTCACAGAGAGCAACTTTACTGTCCATGGCACTGCTGAGTCTTATATTCTGGGTAAAAAACACAGTCAGTATTTGGTTCCACTATTCTAATCTGTAAATGATCTTTGGTGCTCGGAAGCATAGACTGCAATGGCAGGTAGGGAATGCTTACAATCCATTTGCACACTGGTGAGAGGCAATTCCTCCATGTCATTATCAGGAAGTGTGTCAAATGTAGCGTGCTGTTTTGTCCAGTCATATTTGCCACGGCTGCAATATGTAAACTGTAATCATGGAGAAGCAGGAGATTCAGCTTATCACTACTGACCATGAATCAACGTGAAATGAAAGCTCTCCTGACAATCAGCACTTGAGAAAAAAAAATCATTTGACAAATATTTTTTTGGTGTTGTGTAATAAAGGCACATTGATTCGTTTGTGTCAGTTTTCAGCAATATTTGTATTGTATGTATCTGATACTAACAAGTCAGCCTCACAAGTTGTGTTGGGCTGCATGTCATTTAGGTCTGATTACATTTTGAGCAAAATGGTCAGAACTATTATCTGCATTTATGATTTTTATGAACTGCAGTTGTTAGCTCTAACTCATTTCATTAATTTAATATATTTGAAAAAATGATATTATGGACAATTACATTAAGGGCTATTTTAGAAATTGTTTCTGTATCTAAAATCTGTATTCTAATCTGTAATCTATTTAAAGCTTAGAATAATTTTGAGTCAATGTGCAATGTTTAGCATATAAAACACAGTAATGAATCTAGGTGTAAAAGTTAGAAAATGTATGAAACACAAGGCTTCTACTATCTAGTGTGACGTGCTGCAGAAAACCTGTAGCATGACACAAATCCAATAACATTTACAAAACCAATGTCAGCATGGTATGTTTTGTGAATTATATTCTGCTAAATCATTTGAAAGTATTTCATTTTATGGTATGAGGCCATGTGTTAATTAAATCTGTCTAGCTGTTGATTTGATTGAATACTTTCCTCACATCTCGTTTGTGATTGGCTGAAGGGGATAAAATTGGGTTACAGTGTGTTTACATTAGCAGTGTCTGTAGGTTTTTCCACTTTCCTACATTTGAAGGAACATAACTATTCAACATTATATGAACTGAGTGTTCAGTCAGACAATGTTTATTCACTCTGTGGTACATCTGTCATTATAGTATTTAATCAATACTTTCATACTTCTTGATTGCTGATTGTTATTATTGTTCTTTGCATTCTCCTTTGTGGGTTTTTAATGTGTCTGAACTTTTGAATTTTTAATTTTAAATCATTATGTTACTGGAAGCAATGCACAAACTGAAAGAAAGAGCAAGAAAAGAATGTGGATATTACACTGAAGGATAAGGTCATGAAGCTAACATGTTTAATTGTGTGTGTGCATGTGAGAAAGAGAGGGAGAATGAGATACAATCAAAAAACCTTCAGTATTTTTTTTAATTATCAGTTATTTTTTTAATTATTGCAAATACATTCAGATATGGTTTTAATCATTTTATAATGTTACTTAAAGTTGAATTAATAGATTCCAAGATGTTTTCACTCTATTTAAACTTTGAGTAAATGGTTTGTAATAGTGCTTTGTAATTTAGTTAAATTGTAGCTGTGCTGTGCACTTGTAAATGTACTATTTGAAAATGTGTGAGTGCGTTAGAGTGTGTGCGAGCGCATGTGTTTGTGGATTGAGCTGGAAGGGGGGGCAGGAGGATCTGTCAAATGATTCATTTTCTAGAGAAGAGTATTTGTTGTTGGTTTTATTCCTAGCTTTAGGGAAACACAACGGGAGACAGTACAGTAATTGATTTACCAACAGGCAACCCAACATTCTTGTCCAGAAGATTAAGTGAAAATCCTTATTTTCCATGCATGCAACTCTTCCTTGATTACTATGAGAAAATCTCACATTTGTGAAAAAAATTAAGTTAATAAAAAAGTACAACTCAAGTCATGTTTTTTTAATGAAACGAGCACTTTAAAATGATAGATTGCATCAATACTACAGTAATTATAGGGAAACCTATACTTAACCTATTCTTAAGAATTTAACATATGTACTTAATTATGAAGAGGGAAAGAATGAATGCAAAAAACAAGAGAGAAGAAGAACCAAAATAGAGATACTTTTATTCATTCCCATGGGGGAATTCTCTTTTTGGCTGCCCCATTTTGCTCTCCATGAGACACATAGACTGGTAAAAGCAATCTTGGGGATCACAGCACAGGGTCAGCCTGTGTATCACCCCTTGAGCAATTGGGGGTTAAGGGCCTTGCTCAGGGGCCCAAATGTGGTATTAATCTGCCAGTCCTATGATTGGAACTGGTGACCTTATGATCATAGGAACATAACATGCTAAGCCACACACTACCCCTCAAAGGGAGAAAAAATGCCTCTGGGGGTTCATGGTTAGCTAGCTGCCAAGCACCTGGGCATGCAAACATTATAGAACACAGAGAAAAATAAGCTATTTTACTAAAAGCAAGATGCAAATTGTCATCACAGTCAAAGATCATCAGTAAGTTAGTTCTCCCAATAAGATATATTGAAGAAACCTACATTTTTTAAGGGTCCAAAGCACATAGTGCTATGGGCCATTATTGTTTTTCTTAGGATAATAATAATAATAATAATAATAATAATAATAATAATAATAATAATAATTATTATTATTATTATTATTATTATTATTATTATTATTATTATTGTTTTGGGTTGTAATCAACTCCATTCCAAACTGAGAAGCAGAGATTATTAACTATTATAATTTTCTCAAAGGCACTTAAATCAACATGACATCACATACACTCACCTAAAGGATTATTAGGAACACCATACTAATACGGTGTTTGACCCCCTTTCGCCTTCAGAACTGCCTTAATTCTACGTGGCATT